TTTGTAAAAAGAAAAAATGATAAATTATTTTTATTTTATAGGAGCAACTTATTTTTTACAGATATCTTAATAATTTTTCGATTTATATATCTTACTTATATTTCTTTTGTTTTTAAATTAAAACAAATATTAAAGTTTTACTTACGAATCTTATGATTTTCATACAAGTGTTTTACATTATATAGAACGTTATGTATACGGTCTCTCGTTTTTGTGCAAAAGAGCGCAGTATTATATATTCTGAATCTTACTTATTTTTATTTAAACAATCGGAACTTTTTTCTTACTTCTCTGGTTATTTTTACGCTATGATATTTTTTCTTTTCCCGTCAAAAAAAAGTATTAACAATTAATTTCATAAACTGACAGTATTAATTAGAGATATATGATGAATTGTTAACTTTTTTTATTATAAAAATTTTTTGATTACGCTGATTTATTTTAAATTGCTAAATTTGCTAAATTGGATACAGATAAAAAGGAAATATCATTTTATTTTACATTTGATTTTTGATAATGAAACTTTTAAAATGTCGGCAACTCCATACCAATTAGAACCTGTTAAGGTTATGAAAAAAAATTCAAGAATACACTAAACAATACAGTTGACAGTAGTATCAGATATGCAAATTCGTAAAAGGATTTTTGAGATCTTGGTTTTGCATTAAAAGTACAATTAATAACAACACAAGTCGGCATTATAAATTTTGAGTTACTAGTTTACTGTTCAATATTTTATAACCATCAAATAAAAACATGAAGTTTGTATATTTTCGCCCGTTTTATACAACTTATATTTAACAAAAATACGGACAAATTATTTTTATATAACACAATAATTAACACATTAATTAATGGCAATAATTCAAGATAAATGGTAATTTAAATTGTCAAAATGTCATAACGCGTGTTAAAAAACATATTATATTAGGTATTTCCCAATTTGTATCGTATTTGGCATTTATCTCTTAACATGAAAAATTTTAAAACACAACAAATACAAATTTTCAAGTAATTTTCTCTTCCAATTTTCATTTATTCAAAGAAAAGCTACTATTAAACTTTTATTTCTCTCATCTAAAAAAAGAACGAGTGACGCAAAAAAAAAAAAAAAAAAAATTCTATACAACTCTTTTATTCATTCGAAGTTTACTTACGCGAAACTTTTCTTTCTCTTTTGTTCTACTTTTTTATAAAAAGAGCGAGCGATAAAATAAAAACTTTTCTTTCTTAACATAAATTTATACTTAGAGATAAAATTAAATTAGAAATAAAGCAACAATGAACAAAGCAACTAACAGATTAATCTGGGACTATTTTGATATTAATGAAAATAATCAACATAAACAACATTACCAACAGCAATTATCAAATAAAAAACACAATATCGCATAATTTTAGGAGCTTTTTATTTATATTGCTTAGTCGTTCTAAATAATAAGTAAATTTAGTTCAAGTTAATATTTCAATATTTACAGTTGAATATAATAAAGAAATGATGTTTAATGTTGAACTTTTTAATTAATTATTTATTTTTGACCTACATTTGTTATAAAACCCCCGTCATTAAAATAATTTGTTTTGAATATATTTCAAATAAATGATTATTCAAACTAATTTTTTCCCCTTGACTTCCCGAACTTCATGCAAAGCAAATTGAGACGAAATATTATCTAACCAAATAAAAATGCTTTTACTAATTTTACACGGGTAATTAATGTAAAACATTTTTTTATCAGAGTCTTGATTGAGATAATAAATATTCATAATTTATAAACATTAAATATATAGCGCAATAACAATTTATATTATATTATTATTATAACAATTTATATTAATATATATTATAAAATATTTAAGGTTTTTAATATCTTTTTTAATATTAAAAGTAGAAAAAAAAAAACTAAACAAATAACCAAAAAAACTTCGACTAAAAATAAATAAAAATATTTCCAGAGTTCCTTTTGTTAAAAGTCTAAGTGACGTCAAATACTAAAACTTTTATGAATTAAACGCGCTTCAAAGGAATTGCCAAAGTCTGTAGATTGCGACACATAATTTGAAGACTCCAATTTATTGAAAAAAATGGAGAAGGCGAGCTTAGGCAAAAACAACAACATTTATTTTTTACGGTATACATTCATTATTTATTTTTAATCAAAAAAACTTGGTTCAAACCTTTTTTTTTAACATTATCTTTAATATGAACACAACATGTGTTGGGAGTTTGGGATCCCTTTAAAAAAATGTAAATAGAATGGTGGAAATCTCTAAAATCTTTGGACTGCATAATAATGTTTTAATATGGATATTGAAGTTTTGTTAAACACACCAGCTTCTAGTGCTGGAATGAAAGAAAAATTTTAATTTTTGGGCTTGTTCATTTCAAGTTAAGAAACAAGATGGGAGTAAAAAAAGCAACAAAGCTTGTTTTTATATTCAGAACATTAAGTAATAATGTATTGTTTGACGAATTACAGCAGAAATGTTAATAGAAAATATAATTTACTCAAGTAAAAAAAACTGCTTTTTTTTAATTGAAAAAGTTGACTAAACACGGCTTGTTTTAAAAAAAAAAAGAGTTTAAACCAAAAAAACCATTGTTTTTTTTTGTTTTTTTGTTTTAAAAAAAAAAAAACCATGGTTTTTGGTTTTTTTTTAACAAAAAAAAAAGAGAGAGATACAAGTATTAGTGATGTACTGATTGAACATTTGTGGCTTATGCCAATACAGTTAGACAAAAAAAGGCCAATACTGATGCTGATACTGATTAATTAAGCAACCAATAATATAAAACTAAGAACTACAGGTCTGGTCAGGATCAAGATCATCATAATCACCATGCTACCTTAACCTTGCAGATGCTGCTGCTTTATAACTCTGACTTAAAATACACCAAGCCTTGGGGTTCTTGGTTGAGTTTAGGTTAAAGATGGTGGCTTGATAGAAATATTAATCTTGGGCTAATGAACACCCAGCTACCGCCTTGTAGAAAACTTCCTAGGCAAAAATATGAGGGGTAAGCTAAAAAAGTTGGTAGGACAGCACTTCATTAATAGGCTGGCATAGATTTAAACCTGCGTCACATTGTTTCCTGATTTGAACAATGAACTTTGGATTCACTCCTGTGTTGGTTTCTCATATATATTAATAATCTTCCCAATAATTTCACCCTTAAAATGGCTTTATTTGCTAGATGACAAAACCATATTCTTTGGTTAAAAAAGTTAGATTTTAATTGCTTAGAAAAAGCAGCCCATCTTGAATCCAATCTCTCTTTTAAGACAGTATATTGCTACTGTTTTTTTGTTTCTCATTCCTATAGGTCTATAAATCTATAACTATTGCCATATTTGGACAGGTCCTACTAACTATTCTCATTCTCTTTTAGGCATAACCTAAAAACATTGTAAATATGATTGGACCTGCTCTTGATTCCATGCTTGTGCTTCCCATTTGTCATACGGCTGCATCTTTTTCTATTTTCTACAAGTACTATCACAGTCACTGCTCAAGCAATGTACAACTCTTTTACACCTCTTATTCAATTCAAAAAACTTAATTTGTTCTAACACAAAACTATTGTACTCAATCTTACATTTACTGTAACTGTTTCACCATGCTCAAAAAACTTTTTTTAAACCAAGTTTTTTACCTCAATTAGTTATAATCAAATCAAATATCAAATCAAATATATATATTCTGAATAAAGTTGTTACATCAAGGATATTTACAAATAGTAATTTGTACTAATATGAAGTAAACACCTGTCAAACTAAATAAAAATAAGATGGAGATAGTAATAATAATAATTATAATACAAGTAGGAATAATAAAAGTAATAGTAGTGATTATAGTGATAAAAAAAATAATAGTAGTGATTATAAAAAGAATATACTATAATAATAATAATAATAATAATAATAATAATAATAATAATAATAATAATAATAATAATAATAATAATAGTAATAATAATAATAATAATAATAGCAATAATAATAGCAATAATAACAACAAAAATAATAACAACAACAATAATAACAATTACAATAATATTCATTATGATAAAAATATAGTAATAATAACAACAACAGTGATAAGAGAATACTATAGAAACATATCAGTTTATAATAATAAATTTAATATTGATATTAAAATTAGTAATATATCACAATAGAAAATAGAAAAAATAAAAGATGAATAGAAGCACCTCGTTAGGGTTATAAATAACAATTTGTAAAAAGGTATAAGATTTATAAAGAGTATTTTTCTAAAAAATGGTTAAAGAGAGCAGTTTTAAATTTTGAGAATGATTTAAGAGATTTTAATTGGGAAGGGAGATTGTTCTAGGTTTGTATGCTTTTATGTTGTATGGGTTGGTAACCGTAATTTAAAGTTGAGAGCAGGTCGTATATATAAAAAAGAAATTTGTTTATTTAGTAAGTAAAATTTTCATAAAGCAGGATTAATTATTTTAAAATAGCAATTGGTTAGAAAATCGATATATTAACAAAAAAAAAAAAAGGCTGATACCAATAACAATTGTGCAAAAAGTTTGAATATATATAACTTATTATATATATATATATATATATATATATATATATATATATATATATATATATATATATATATATATATATATATATATATATATATATATAATGCTTGCTATATATATATTCTTGTAACATTAACATTACAAACATATACTAATAACTAGTATAAAACTAGTATACAAATTTTGTATTAAATAAGCAATTTTTTTAATGAATAAACAGATAGCTTGTGCAAAAACCAAAAGATGTTTAAAGGAGAAGTATATATTATATATATATATAAATATATATATATATATATATATATATATATATATATATATATATATATTTATATGAAACATTAATTAAACCTGAAAGCTCAGACTTTCATAAAAAGTAAAAAAAAAACATTTTTTATATTCATTTTATATTTAAATTGGAAAAAAATAATCTTACCTTCACCATTACTAAGTATTTCTCCGCCATACAAGTCTAATAAGAGATATGAATATCCATAGCCAAACACTAAAATAATAAAGCTAATAAGTGAAACAAACTTCAAAACAACTGAGAGAGAAGTGCAACACTGCTTCATTACGCTATCAGGGTATTTTTTTACATTTCTTTCAAGTGCTTGTGAAAAATAAACATAATAACTTTCTTCAATTGGCATGAAAATAAATCTTGCAGCAAGTGATCCTAAATTGTTTATGACATCATAGACTCCTTGTTGACTAAAAGACAAAACACGAAATAGTGTCATAACATATCGTTCACCTTCCGTCAAAAACTGCTTTAAGAGTGATTGTTTAAAAAAACTTTTCACTAAACTTGTGCTATCTTTATCAAGAAATGGATCCGCAACTAAATTGGGAAAAATGTCTCTAATATTTGAAAAACCAGAGGAATTATCTTTTGAGTGTATTACTTTAAAAAAGAAGCAAAAATATAATGTTGCATAAACAATTGACGCTGTTAAGTATGACATTGCAATTCCATACAGTGCATATTTTGGCATTAAAATAACAACTATAACACTTAAAACGCTTCTAACAATAAGAAAAATTCCTTCTAAGATTACTTTAGAAGTTATATACCCTGATTTTTGTCCAAAAATCCACATTGGTTCAATAGTCAATTCAATAATAGCAGAGCATGCAAAACAAATGCAAGAAGTGTGGTATTGTTTTAAATACTGAGTTGATGGTTGTTCCAGCAAAATTATCCAAATAAAACAGAACAAAAAAGATAAAATTATCCCAGCAACTACAGATAGCCATATTAAGTTTACAAGTTGCATTTTACTACCTTTTAAAGTTTTTTCAGAATCAGTTTTGCTTAAGCATGACTTTCTGAAAGATTCTCTTGAAAGAAAAACAATAGTGCTGTATAATAATAATAGTCTAACGTTAACTAATCCTAACAATTCTCTGGATATGTATCTCAACATAATAGCATTACCTAAAAATGTCCCAGCACGAAAACAAACTTGTAAAAGCATATTAAGCCAAGCAGATTTCACAACAACACTCATATCCATTTTAAAAGTTAATCAATAAATGGTCAATAAACTAAACAAAATCATATTTTTAAAATTAGTAATCAGATTCAACTCTGTCTGTGTGGGACAGCACTAAAAAGGATGCACTGAAGGTACATTTTGTGTTTATATAAAAACGCAGACCAAAAAAAGTTTAGCGCATGCGTTTATATGCGCTAATGTACCTTCAGTGCATCTTCTCTAGGGTTGTCCTTCAATAAACGAGTTTACATATTACATATTACAGTATATTTTTTTGTGACATTGAAATAAATGAAAATGATACTCACCAAGATTTTGAGCATGTGTTGAGTAAGATTGTTCTATGTGATTTCATAAGTTTTTTATTTAATATAAATAAATATATGTATATATACAAATATAATAAATAAATGAAAATGATGCTGAGTATCATTTTTATTCATTCATTATATATGTATCATATATGTATTATATATGAGTAACATACTCACCAAGGTTTTGAGCATGTGTTAAGTAAGATTGTTCAAAATGACTTTATAAGTTGATTTATATAATATAAATATAAGTATAAACACACTTAATATATATATATATATATATATATATATATATATATATATATATATATATATATATATATATATATATATATGTATATATAAATATATATATATATATATATATATATATATATATATATATATATATATATATATATATATATATATATATATATATATATATATATATATATTAGATTGTATACATCTATATATTTTATATAGTATACATCTATATATTTTATATATATACATTATATATATACATTATATATATATATATATATATATATATATATATATATATATATATATATATATATATATATATATATATATATATATATGTATATATAAATATATATATATATATATATATATATATATATATATATATATATATATATATATTAGATTGTATACATCTATATATTTTATATAGTATACATCTATATATTTTATATATATACATTATATATATACATTATATATATATATATATATATATATATATATATATATATATATATATATATATATATATATATATATATATATATGTATTATATATATATATATATATATATATATATATATATATATATATATATATATATATATATATATATATATATATATATTATAGGTACGTGACATGAAAATTTTAAATTAATTAAATAGTAGATTGTTATATATCATTAGAAAGGTCTTTAATTCAATTTTTCAAAAGTGAAAAAATTATAAAAATCGGACAATTCCATAAAAATTTATACTTGATTAAGTGACGAATTAACAATATATGGATTTCTTGATAAAACTGACGCAAAATAAGTTTTTTTTTTTACTAAAACTATCATAACTTAGTCAATTCTCATCAAAATCCTTATATCTTGGCATTAAAAAATAGGTGCAAGAATAACCTACAAAATTATAACAACCTTGAGCAATTTGGCATACCGTCGGCGGCGGCGGGCGCATAGATACGCTGTCTTTGCGGTCAATAAAAAGAGATTTTTCTAAATAAAAAAGTGTTTCTTCAGGAAACCGGTCTATTTCATTTGCAAAAAGTTGTTACAATTTCATTACACTTCACTGCCAAATATCAGAGGTTTATTAAAAATATGGGGTGGACCTTAGGTGTTAAAATTCAACACACCCTAATTTAAAAAAACAATCATTCTCATAATCATTTTTATCTTTATTTCAAAATATACATCTAATAGATCAAGTTTATAAAATGAATAATTTTTTTTTACATCTTTAAAACTAAGTAGTGATGTACACAAAGACACGAGAAAAGGGCGTATCCTGCCCCCTCTAACCTAAAAAAAAAAAATTTAAATGAGGTTTCCAAAAATAAAAATTGCTATTATTTTTAATGCTTTATTTTTATATAAAATTATTTTTACCATATTACAGTAGTAGTATTAAAAGATGCATCAGAGTACTCATTTTTGCAGAGGGGGTGGGAGTTACCTCCTCTAACCTAAAATTATTAAAAAAAAATAAAATGACATTTTCTAAAACAAAAACTGCTATAATTTTATATATTTTATTTTAATATAACATTATTTTTACCATAATACAGTAGTACTAAAACAAGATGCATCAAAGTATTTATTTTTGAAGAAGGGAGTAGCGGTTACCCCCTCTGACCTATACAAATTAAAAACAATTTAAAATTACGTTTTTTAAAATAAAAACTGATATTATTTTATATGTTTTATTTTAATATAAAATTATTTTTACCTTATTTGAGTAGTAGTATTACAAGATGCATCAGTCTTCATATTTTCTGGGGGAGATGTCAAACCCCCCCCTCCAACCTAAAAATTTTAATTACTAAAATTTTAATTACTTTACTAATCGCTGTAGATTTATTTTGCAAGTTCCACTACTTGCTGTACTTATATATTGCAAGTTCCACTACTCGCTGTACGTTTATTTTGCAAGTTCCACTACTTGCTGGACATATATTTTGCAAGTTCCACTACTTGCTCTACGTTTATGTTGCAAGTTCCACTACTTGCTGTACATATATTTTGCAAGTTTCACTACTTGCTGTACATTTATGTTGCAAGCTCCACTACTTGCGGTACATATATTTTGCAAGTTCCACTACTTGCTGTACATTTATGTTGCAAGTTCCACTACTTGCTGTACATATATTTTGCAAGTTCCACTACTTCCTGTAAATCATAAGTTCCACTATTAGCAGTACATTTACAACAAAAATTCCACTACTTGTTTAACCATTATTTTGCAAGTTCTAATTCTTGCTGTATATTAATTTTGCAAGTTCCACAATAAGATAGCATAACAAATTACGAAAATACTAACTCGCCTGATACAACATCAGCAACCAGCTGGAATTTTTTTATGCTATGGTCAACAGCTTCTGTATAAGTTTCATCTGGAGCCCAGTAAGAAATTGTGTAAAAGATGCCTTTTGTTGTCTTTTTAAGTTTTTTAACTCTGCCATTATACAAGATCGCCATTGTTGAATCTGTATCATACCATTCGTGGCAGAGATTCCTCCCAACAATTCTTCACACATAACATCATTTAAATCATCAATTTGCTTAGTAGACAAGTTTTTAAATAAATTTTGAATTTCACAAACAGATAGTGGAGATAATTGTCGCTCTAACCTTCTTTTTTCTTTTTCATCTAATTTTTGGCGTTTCACTGTCTGCCTTTTAGAAATTTCAGCTCGAATTTCAGCATGCTGAAGTCGAGTTTTCTTTCGTTTTAAATGCGCTTCTTGAATAGCCCATTTAACTACTTTTTCTCTATAAAAGTTATCAAGATTTTCCAAAAAAACCATTGTCCTAATCTTTTTTGTTCCCAATTTGCAAGAGATATAATCAATTGTAGCATTTGGTGATCTTCTTTTTGCAGCACTGAACATTCCCATTACCTCTTCACTGTCTATATTATGTAGCCTTGCACTGGCTGTCTCTTCTTGAAGTGTTTTTGTAATATTAATCGAAAAATAACGCTTATACTATCTATTTAAAACTTCTTCTATTGCAACAAGACAACCTGATGTCATGGCAATAAGCTCATCATCAATTATGCATTTAATTGTTATTGCTTGTAAAATATTTGGTTGGATAATATTTCCAAACAAACCTGTCTTTCTGGTAAACAATGCACCTTTACAATCTGTAAGTGTCTGCACAACCTTTTTAATTATTGCAATACCACCAACATGATCAAAAGTGAGTCATCCAGGGTCCTGTTAAAAGTTTTCCTAATAATGCAAGCAAGCACATTTGTTTTATAGCAGTTGTATCACAAAATGCAGCACGCAAAATAATTTGTAAAGTTTTCCTTTTACTGTTCCAATTGTCAGAAATTGCATAAATTGACTGTGGTGTTTTATAAAAATGAAACAAGTGTGGAACAGAATATGTAGACGGTTTCCACGGTACCTTTGAATAATACCTCTTGGTAATTTGTTATTGTCCAAAAAATTGACAAATCCTTTTGGATCGCCGCTTGCATCTTTAAACCTCATCTTATTCATAGCCAAAACAATTTTAACAGTAACACAATCATTTCCAAATAATTGGCAATTTCCATTTTCCAAAGACTTTAATGCTGTTCGACATGAAATAGCAATTGTGTCAAGAGGGTGTAAGTGGCAGTTTAACTCATTTAGACTTTTACCCAAGACTTCACCAATTTTTAAGGATTGTAAGATGGTGAACCGAAACTCTATCAGACATGGTGTTTGATATATTTGAGATTATTAGGCGTCTACAATCATCAAAGGTTGTAAGTGAAAGTTTGAATAAACTAAGGCAGTATAATCCACTACATTACATATATGATTTGCATAATCCACTGCTTTCCCGCCTGGTAATTGATCAATAGCAACAACCTAGCATTGATTTTTTTGAAGTTTAATGAATGCTGTTTATATGAACACCTTCTTGCATTGTTGCATTAAATCCAAGTGTGAGATGATTATTATTGATGGCCCATTCTGCTACTTGCAAATCAGTGATACTGCCAAGCTCACGAGTCATTTGCTCAACGGTACTACGATGAGGAATGTAAGAAAAATTAATTCCAAAATATTGTGCAATTTTATCCACTAGAAATGGAATATAACTGGTTGGGACATTTGACAATAACATGGTGTAGACTACCATCCTTAATAGCATGGAAAAATTTTTAACATTGTTGGACCAGTTTGATGTACTTTAATTGTAATTTAAAAATGTAATTTAAGCAAAGTGTCATTGAATTGAAAAAAAACTACCTAAACTATAAACAGACACAAATATTTTAATCTGCTTTTAGTTTAAAAACTTTTTACATTATAAAATATATATAATATATATATATATATATATATATATATATATATATATATATATATATATATATATATATATATATATATATATAAACATATATTTGCATAAATTTATATAGTATATATATATATATTTACATATTACTATATATGTGAATGTATATATATATATATATATATATATATATATATATATATATATATTTACATATATTATATATGTATATATATGTTATATATATATATATATAAATATATATATATATATATATATATATATATATATATATATATATATATATATATTTATATATTATATATATATATATATATATATATATATATATTATATATATATATATAATATATATTAACATATATACTATATAAATTTATGCAAATATATGTTTATTATAATATATATATATATATATATATATATATATATATATATATATATATATATATATATATATATATATATATATATATATATATATATATATATAATTATTCTTATATACAATTTATTGTAACTTTGATATCAAAGTGGTTATTATTTTGATATCAATCGTATATAAATGATATACGATTTTTTATATTGTTTACGTTGCTCCCCCTCTGCTATATAAGGCGCAGAATTACCGATAAAAGTAAAGTCGTAGAAGTGTACTTGAGCATCATTATTTTTCAATAAAATTTGGCAGGTTTTTTTTTTTTTTTTTTTTTTTTTAACATCTTCACTTCCAACAAGGCTGCAAGCAACCACTATAAGAGTTGGAAGTTACTGGAAGAGAAAAGACTAAATCTGTAGAGCAAGATAACGATTGACTGATGACTTAAAAGATTGCAAATTATATGAATCAGGAAAGCAAGATGAAGGAAGCGAATTCCAAAGAACTGATGTTCGAGGAAAAAAACTAGAAGAATAAGAGTTTTTGAAGCACTTAGGAACAGTCACAGAAAAAGGATGAGACTTAATTGAATGGCGAGTAACACGAGAATGAATTTTAGTAGATGGCACAAGGGACGCTAGCTCTTTAGAGCAGTGCCCATTATAGTATTTGTAGAAAAGAGAAAGAGAAGCAACATTACGACGATGTGACAAAGGTTGGAGATTGGCTGCCAGAGCAGGTCCAACTATGTTTACAATTCGTTTTTGCACCTTGTCTAAAAGAGAAAGAGCATCATTAGAAGATCCGCCCCAGATGTGGCAACAGTATTCCATACAGGGACGGATTTGAGATTTATAGAGATAGAGAATAGAATCTGGAGTAAGAAAGTGTCGAGCTCGATAAAGAGATGCAACCTTAGCAGATGCTAATTTTGCAATGGATTTGATATTCGGTTTAAAAGAAAGATCAGAAGTAAGAGTTAATCCTAGAAGATGAATGGTAGATGACTCATCTAGTACATTACCATTCATAAATATAGGAAGATCTAAATTATTACGATAACGATTGGCCGAATAAAATTGAGTTTTATCTGAATTAAAGTTCACCAGCCACTGTGAGCCCCAAGCTGTAGCAGAAGTGAGATCCTTTTCAAGCTCAGATACTCCCTCCAAGCAATCAGAGAGTGTAGGCTTCTTATCATGACAAGAGTAAATGGTAGTATCGTCAGCGAATAATGCCACCTTAGATGTGAGAATATCTGGAAGATCGTTAATGTAAATTAAAAAGAGTATAGGACCAAGGATTGAACCTTGAGGAACCCCTGAAGTTACAGGATGTGAAGAAGAGTGTTGTCCATCGAGGACAACTTTTATACTACGATTGGAAAGAAAGGACTCAATAATCTTAAAGACGTTACCAGCTACACCATAAGAAGAAAGCTTATGGAGAAGACCAGCATGCCAAACTTTATCAAAAGCTTTAGAAATGTCAAGTGCGATAGCCTTAACCTCTCCACCTCTATCTAATGCACGGTAAAACCTATCGGTTATTACTGTTAGCACATCAGCTGTAGAACGAGAAGACCGAAATCCATATTGATGATCAGAAAGTAAGTTATTTGATTCAAGATGAGAGATTAAGTGTTTGTTGATTAAAGATTCAAAAACCTTGCTTATGACAGGAAGAAGACTAATGGGACGGTAGTTAGATGAATCAGATCGCTCTCCGGAATTTTTGAAAATAGGGATAACAGATGCTGCTTTCCAGCATGATGGAAAACAAGACTCTGATAAGCACTTGTTAAATAGTTTAGAGAGTATGGATGAAAGCTCAGGAGAACACCTTTGCAAGACAACAACAGGAATGTTGTCAGGACCACAAGCTGTTGAAGAGTCTAAGCAGGAAATTACTTTAGATACAGAAGCTGAAGTGATGCGAATGTCAAGCAAGGGATCAACCTGTTTGACGGCTATGTCAGGTAAAACGCAACTAGTGGAATCAAAAGATGATATTGATGAAAAGTTCTTAGCAAACAATTCAGCTTTGTCTTTAGGTGAGGTGACAAAGTCTGAACCATACAAGAGAGAAGGAATAACAGATTTGCCCTTATTATTGATACTGTTAAAGATTCTCCAGAAGTCTCGAGAGCCTAATTTTTGTGATGAGATACGAGATTTAATGACCTGG